GTGTCCTCCGTAACTTTTTTGGTGATCGCGATTTTTTAGGAATATTTTGCTTTATATCTTTTATTCGTGGCGACGACAAATCGTAACGACTACTATGTTAGATTCGTTCATTGCTGTATCGGGGCAGGCTGGGGCAGGTGATGCGAAGAGACGACCGTTCTTATCGGCGCGATGTGATGTACTAGTGGGAGTTTTTTTTTTTTTTTTTCTGAACTCGACAGTGTGAAACTGAAGTCCGTTTGAGGCTGCAGGGGATGTTCAACGACGGTACAGTGCAGTTCTGTCACCTTGCTGATAGCAACGAGTACCGTCGATGCAAGGTCTCGTGGCCTGACCTCTCGACGACTTCTATTCGACGATTTCTGGGCATTTTCGCAGCTGCCGTGGCGAGTTCGTCACTGTTTTGAACTTCATCGGTCTCAGGCTTGACTTGGTTTTAGTAGTCATCTTACCTGCCTACTTATATCCATGATGTTTTGTCTTCAGCGATGTAGTGAGTAGAGTGTCCTTCTCGCGTTTGGTGAGTTTTGGGGCCCCCGATGGCTCCTTCGCCTCAAAATGTGAGCACGAAAACTACTACCACTGTCAAAATATCCTGTTATCAACCGATATTAAACACACAACCACAGATGTAAAGAGCATTCGTGTTTATTTGAAGCTTTGACTTCTGTTATTGAAAGTTAAACGAAAAAATAATTGAATTTGGAGACCTTTAATTTGTTATACTCACCGAAGAAATACAGCGAAAAGCAGACGCCGACGACGACTACTACGGCAGTTTTTCTTTTTTTTTTTGTTGTTTACATCACGTGATTCCTCTCCGCCAATCGTATTCGTCGCTCTGAGCGTTTCCTAGTTTGCTCTGTTTGTCCCTAGATTCCCTACGCAAATCCAGCGTTTAGCTAGGGGCGCGTCTGTAAAGCCGGCTTAACCTTGGTGCAACCGGAATTTAAACCCGTGCTTACCTAAGCTCGGTTTAGGGCGCTAAGCCGGCTTAGGAAAGTGCCGCTTTGGGTTAATGTAAGCGGCGTTGGTGCAACCGGCCCTTAGGAGTTTAAAATTTGTCACCCAAATTCGCGAACATTTGCCAGCGATGGACCACCTGTCAGAGGCCATTGTTATAGAATTCCTAGTTTGAGTGCTTAGGAATCGCTCCACCTCAGGAATCACTTGGTCGTCGTCCTGGAAGTGCTTTCCTTTTGTTTGGCCACGCTGGAAGCGTCTGCGCCATTCAACCACAGTGTCATAAACTAAGGAGTTGTCTCCGAACAACGCCATAAGCTCAGAATGAATCTCCTTGACATTGCTTCCCTTGAAATGGAGGAAACGAATCTCTGCACGTGCTCGGCACCGACGGGCGCGGTGATATTTTATTGCGAGTTTGTGCCACACGTACTGGCACCGTGCGAGTTTTTTCCCAGATGGCACCGCACTCGCGCAGTTCCGCACGGAAGGTCGGTCCCGAACGAACTTGCCGAGTGCAAACTGATGCTGTCGCCATCTATGACGTAGCGAGAAAAACCGAAAATAGCGGCCTGCTGTTCCACATGACAGGCGGGAACGCGAGACAGCGCCGTCGCTGCAATGTCTATACGCAGTGTCTAGCGTTACGTCCGACGGAGCCCAAAACGAAAATTAGAGTTACGTCCGATGTAACTGTACTTAAATTTTTTTTAGTTATGTCCGACGTAACCTAAAATTAGAAAAGTAAGGGCACTTACGCAACCCGCAAGGTGAAACACTGCGACAGCGGAGGTGTGACGTCGAAGCTAAGGTGTCGTTTAGGAGCAGATGGACCGAATGAAAGGTGAAAGGTTAAAACAGCGCAAAACACGACGGACAGGGTAAAGGAGGACACAGACAGAGCGCAGCGCTCTGTCTGTGTCCTCCTTTACCCTGTCCGTCGTGTTTGGCGATGTTTTAACCTTTTAAGTATGTCATACGAACTCGCCCAGGCTTCAACTTTAGAAAGGTAAAGGTGCGAGCGTGCAGCATAAAGTCCGCATAGGCGTTTCGTATTCAACCGAGTAACATACCAGAGGAAAGTTCCATAGCGTTTTGGAACCAATGAGGGTGTAATGAGTAGAGTGCCTTTCGTGAACCTTGGACACAAACTAGGACTGCCTTGTGCTGATTGAAGAACACTTCGAAAATGGCGCGCCCAAGTTTGAAATCCAGGGAACGACGAAACTGCATGTGTATGCATTAACCGTTCCCTGATGTTATTGTGGCTCTCTGAACGTCTAATGCAAAGTTACTGGACACAAACTAACACCGCCTTGTGGTCACTGAAGAACGCTTCCGAAATCGCGCACTCAAGTTTGAAGCGTGTAGCTCCACCCAATTTCACGCTCGTGGTTTCACCAGCTTCCACCTTGCTTTATCTGGTTTATTGCCCGTAAATCTTACTGGCAAAATTAGAAAAAAATTATTTGTTCTTATTGTTTCTATTGTCAGGGGTCTCATGTCTGTTTCCACGTGCCGTCATGGTTTCGCGTGACAACGTATGGTCACGTGACGTCCGAATGTCACGTGACGTCATGACATCACGTGTCTCACGGGGTCACCTGACGTCAATAGGTCGCGTGGCGTCACCGTGCAACGTGACTCGACAAGGTCACGTCATGGTGTCAGCTGACGTCAGTAACAGGTGACGTGATGCACGGCATGACACAAGAGTTGTGTCGAGAGGCGTGAAATCAATATGGAATCTTTTGGCGGAGTGCCGAAGATCGCCCGCGTTGATATGAAGCGCGGTCGACGGCGCGAAACCCTCGAAGTGTGTCACTAACTGCTATCGCAGTAAAATGAAAGTTACGTCCGACATAACTCTACTTTTTTGTTTTGTGTTACGTCCCACGCAATTCTGGTTTAATACTTCAGATCGTGTTTCGGCAGTCTTAAAATTAGAAAAAGAAGTGAAAATTGTAGCGTAAGGGCCCATGCCTCCACCACTCTTCAGTGGCCCTTTGATTTAGCGTGTAGCCGTGTCACAAACCCGGCGGCGGTTTTCCGTTGTTTGTCCCTGGTTTTCAATAATGCATGCAGCAACCAGTTACCAAATCGTTAAAAAAGGTTGAGCAAGTACTCTTCTAAGAACTGCAAAAAAAAAAAAAAATAACGCCACCTCTCTTGTGTGTTGAATCCATCGGAATGCAACAACTTGGTCCAGCTTCCTCCGCCATGAAGTCGACTGAGGGACGCGGAATTACCGCTTTATGATTACGGCGTCGTAACTCCTTTTCAATTTTGTTTGAATAATCTGTCATAGCCGGGCGCTAAACCTAGTTCCATAGTATGCCGGACGTAACCTTGCATCTTATTTTAGGTTACGTCGGACGTTACTTCAGTTCAAAAAAAACAAAAATGTTAGTAAAGTTACTTGAGACGTAACTAATTATTAATGCGGGCTCCGTTAGACGTAAGGCCAGACACTGCGATGTCTATATTTGCGATAACTTAAAGAACTCGAGTGTCGTGGAGACATTTACACAAGATGTATGTTTCCGCCATAAGCTGACAACGAAACATCTGTAAGAAATAACAAAAAGTCAGAGATCTTTTAATTCTTCTGACACGCAAAAACGGGAGAAATCGCCGTTGATACTATTGGCGCAGGAGCTTCATGAGCTTTTTAAACGTGAACCACGGAAAGGATAAGATTTCAAACTAGTTCGTTGGAATCTCCAACAATACGTTTCGCGGCACCTCCGATTTCGATCATTGGTCATCGCTGTGTCTGCTTTTATTTATAATAAAATCTTTCTAGATAAAGCTACAACAACGAGGGTACAATGCAGTTGGTGTAGGTAAATGTTAAAAGTGGTGAATTTACCCAAGCCTTGCTCAAAATCACCATGTTTAGCTTTCTCGGCTGCTAATTGGAGGTATCAGGTACAGGTTCTGCTGGGCGAGCTTCCTTGACAAATGTCCACTGGTGAGTGCACAATCACCCGTATTTTGGCGATAACAATTCACCCGTACACCCGTGAAAGAGATATCGCGGCCGCATGATGCGTTTGTCCGGAGCCCTTTACCTTCCTGGAAGATTTCAGCGACTGCACGGCAACGAAACGACTCGAAACTCGCGAAGGTATGGGCTGTCGATTGACCCCTTCTTGAAATAGTAACAATTCAAACTCATGTTCGATCCCGTCTCTCAGAGCACGCGATTCCTAAGAAGCAAAACTACTTTGTTTGTTCGTTTTGTTTTGTTTAGCTTGTGCGAATGGCACCTCGTAGCAGATCTGTAGCAGTCCATCTCCCGTCGTCTGCCCTCGCAATTTGCCTGCCTCGCCTGAGCGATGCATGACGGGATTGGATTTTGGCGCACGCTCAATTCTCTCGGTGCCGTGAGTGTCTGCACGCGTTGAGTGCTTCGCCGAAACGAACTCAGAAAGGTCAGCCACACGTGGAGAGTCACACGGAACGAACTCGCTCCACACTGCGAGTGGGGACGCGTGGGCATGAGTGCAGTGAAACAAATTTGCTATTGGCAACGTGCTCCATCGAAAGCGTTGCTGTGGTCGGCCTTCCACAATTCGCCGAATACTGGCTATGATGTCAGTAAAGCTTTTCTTATTGACAGAAATAAGAGTAGTCTACGAACTTCGATTTTGACGGTGTTTGCAGTGCAATGATTTCAAGCTTGCACCTTGCTAATTACAAAACCATCGAACTTGTTGCTCGAGAAAAGGTAATGACGTCACAAGAGGGAACCGAAGGTGGGCGCCACCAAGACATCTCGCCGCTAATAAGATTCGACGCCGAAGCGGCTTTCCGCGGTAGTATAGCAGGCATTGTTTGTACCGTGCCAAAACTAAACGGACGCACGATCCTGTTGATGCCGGTTTTGTTCTATTTTTTTTTTTTTTTTTTTTAATTTTTGGTACCGTTAACACGAACTATACGAAAGCCCTACGACTGGAAAAATAAAAAGTTTCTATTTGAGTTTGTACTATATATACGGCTCGGGAGAAGTGTTCGAAAGAGCGACTCACGTTTCTTTGAGGTCTGGTAGGGGTCGTCCGAGTCGACGACCTCGGTGTGTGTGGTCACTCCGAACAGAGGGTCCCTGAGGTTGTGCACTTCCATGGCGTGCTCGTAGGCGTAGCGCTGCTCTTCTTGGCCGGGCAGAAATATGGCCCCTGCGAAACAAGAAAAAGAAGGAACGAAACGTCGCCGTTTAAGTCTAGAGGGGAAGCGTATGTTCCACGTACGCAGAAAAGACGAACCCAAAACGCCACCGACAGGCATAGTTCCTATGCGATAAAAAACATAAGCAAAAATATAACTGCGCACCCTGAGTTTATTTCAAATCTTAAAAAAAGGACAACAACAACAAAAACAAACAGATTTTACGGAGGCAAACAGGGAAAGCTACGGCATGTTATAGTTCAGGGGACGGTCAAGCACGGTCTTGACAAGGCTGACAATGTACGCGAGGGTAACTTCTAAGTAACATTAACGAAAAAAGAAAACGCTTCAGGTAAGGATTTTTGTTAAATTACATTTAAAAGACGGCTTTCCGATCCCAATATTACAGGCTAATTTTGTATCTGGTCAACAAGGCAGACAAATTGCCACTAAATGAAAATTAATAAAAAAGTCGAAAGTTTCCAAACACTTGAATAGTGGATGTTCACTCAGAGCTTGAACAAAGTTGAGCGTGGGTTCCGAGCATCTCCATCATCGTTCCACAGCCAATAAAATCGCAGCATTAGCAGACGAGAACACCTGAAAACCAATCACGAAGCGGGACGCGTGATTATAATTATAGGCCACGCCCCTGAGCTTCTTACGTTGTCAGTGACTGTACACGAACGCGCAGCCCTGACGTCACGCCGCTACGGCGGCGCCGTTGTCAGCACAGCGCATGCGGAAACGGTTCACTGCGCGGGGATGTGGTTTCTGCGCATGCGAAGAGCCCACACCGGATTTGGACAGGTCCTCGGAAGCACCGTCACCGGAAAAATGTCCCCGGAAAAAAAGCACCCGGAAATTATGTCCCCGGGAAAAAAGGCCCCAGGTGGAAAGTACGAAAAACTATCTCCAAACGGTTCTCTATCGCTGGGTTTTCCCTGATTCTCATAGCCTTCGGGCGGTCCTGTCATTGTCCTGTCACAAATGCTCAGACACGTCTAGAGGTAGAAAGAGAGACTGGAAGTCACACAAAGCAACCGAAGTATTCTCTTGTAGGGTATTTTGGGACACCAAATTATTGTCCTTGCCAAAAAAAAAAAAAAAATTATTGTGTTGTTTTTTTCATTGGGAATTAAAGGTTTATAACACTTCTAGCCAAAACCAAATTATTGTGGTTGTGGAAATTTGAGAGGTACTTGTGTACCATTCCAAAATAGGTAAAAAACGCAACGTACTGTTAGCACGAACTGACTTTAGCACGAACAAGCGATCGCTAGTTTTTTTTTTCTTATTCTCTTAGAAACGAAAGGTTGTCATCATATTTATCATAGGTACTGAAAGTGCTCATTTGGGGATATAATGCATACGAAAAAATTTCGTTCGCACTAAAACTCTTTCTACGTAAAATGTGAAAATGCGCCGATGTCGTGTTCGCACTAACTATGTCGCGATGTGTACCTCGGGGAATTACATATTTTCTTATTGTTGTGGCCATTTTTTCCTACTTGCCACAGGGTGCCTTTTTTCTAAAGGACATATGACCGGACCGCCCGAAGACCATGAGGATCAGGGAAACCCGGTGATAGAGAATCCTTTGGGGACATTTTTTCCTACTTCCAACCTGGGGCGTTTTTTCCCGGGGACATCTTGTCCGGGTAATTTTTTTTCCGGGGACTTCGTTTCCGGGGACATTTTTTTTCTACACCCAGTTTGGGCAAACGCTGGCTTGTTTTGTAAGGGGCGCTCTGGTCTGTAGTAGAAGGAGAAGATCAAACGTACGACTACATGCTTTTAAGCCATCTTGTTCGCGACATTGATTGGAATTGAGTCAATAATGCATTCGAGAACGTCAAAAGGAAAAGTTCTACAAAAGAGCGGCATAGTTGGAGTAGGGTGGAGGAAAAAAGGGGGGGGGGGGGGCACATTTTTGCGTTGTGACACAAAAAAAAGAAAGAAAAAACGGAATACGAATAAAGAGAAAGGTAGCAAAACAGACGAACAAAATGGTGGCCTCAAACACTGCCGCGTTTTGCGGCCTGATTTCTTTCTATATCTGTTCGTCTGTGTCATTTTTTTTATGGTCAAGCTTTTTATGACATTGCAATTTTGTCAGAACCCCTTCCCCCTCCCTCCCTCGCTGTCAGCAAAAAAACAAAAACAAAAACAAAAAAAAAACGATAACAATTTCTTTTAGTTAAGCCCCAGCTACACCGCTCGTACATCATGCAGAGGACGCGGTGTCTGTTACAGACACTAGAAGGATGGATGGATGTTAATGGCTACACCGCAGCAAAGTAAATAGGTGGGCTAGTTGGTTCATAGTCTTTGAAAAGTGACAGCGCCGAAAACGCAGACGAGGACGGAAACGGAGTGTTTGTCTTTGTTCACTTCGTGTCCGTCCTTGTCTGTGTTTCGGCGCTATTACTTCTTAATCGATAAACCCTTCGTAACGGGCGGTCGCTTGCGCCACCTAGGCTAAGTCTAATCCAACCAGATACCCTCACTGATGACAGAACCATTTGCGGACACGCCTGAAGCAGGTTCGTGCATACGTGTGCTTAAAGCACGTTTGCAGACAGTTATGACCCACGTGACAAGAGCGTCATACAAGAAAGAAAGACGTCCTCGACGGTGTATGCAGGCTGTATTTTTATATTTTTTACGACGTATTAGCAGTATACTTGCAGCTCAATAGTTGCCCGGTTTTTGAAACATACAGAGGCTCCGTCAACCCACACCTTCATCGGGGCCCTAGCTACATTCGAACGCGAATGCCGCTAACGCAGAGCAACGAACTCCGTGGAACAGATGCAGTCGCATAGAACACGTTTGTATACCTTGCAAAACGTTTTTTCTTAAAACCTTTTTTCGTACTATCGGCACGCTTCCAGCCGGCACTTTGAGCGGAGAGTTGGAAATGCACCGTTCGACTCGCGTCATTGAAAACAGCCCCCCCCCCCCTCCCCCAAACATTCACGGCCCATTTAGCGTGTCTCAGTGAAAACCGTGGAGTGTGCCTGTAGATCTGAGAGTGTTTCCAACCGCTCGATCGAATGCACGTGGTTTACAGGCCGCGTTTGCGACGCGAGTTGCGAGGAGGTGACGAACGCGTAGGTCGTCTGCTCCCGTTTTCCTTGTCGCGCGACGCGACAAAGACAGCGCATGCGTACTTTCGACCAATCTTGTTATCATGAGGTGTACGTGGATAAAGTGCGAACGCTTTCCATGGGTTGAGTTGCTTCCTCTCTTGAATCCACGCCTTCTAGAACCGTACCGAACCGTGCCGGGCACATTTGGTTTCGTCGTGTTCGGTACGCTTCGTGCCCTACCGTTGTTTCTTTGTTGTTTTGTGGATTATTATGTTCGTTATTATTAAGATCGGTACTACTCGCGGAACAACCCTCGCTCACTTACCTCACCGTCTATCGTTCTTAACTTGTAAATGTTTGTTTTGGTGCTGCAGACACCGACGGGATGGGAAACGCGCGGCGTCGATCTCAGATTCCCGGCCTCTAATGGCGACGTGAGCGATCGAAAGCGTCGCTGTGGTCGGCCTTCCACGATAGGCTGAATACTGACTATGACGTTAGCAAAGAATGTCTCTTCGACGGAAACAAGAGGAATGGAAGAACTTCAATTTTGGCGGTGTTGGCGGCGTTGGTTTCAGAGTGCAATGATTTCAAGCTTCCACCATGCTGATTACCAACACCATCCATCTTGTTGTTCGCAAGGTAATGGCGCCATGAAAACATCTCGCCGCTAATACTTCGTTTCAGCTCAAGTCCAGACGCAGCCGACGCTACAAGCGCGAGCATGTGCCCCTGAACAATGCTTGCACTGCACGAGAGCGCGTGCTTGGCAGGGCCGCTGAAAGCCCGGAGCTCGCGCTTATAGCATCGGTTGAGTCTGGACTTATGATGAAACAAAGTATAGCATTCGTTCGTTGCCTTGGTTGCCTTCCACCGTTGCATAGCCTCCTATATACTGCCGCGCGCGCAGCTGGCCAAGTAGGCGGCGCGCGCGTGGCCTAATGGTTATCGTACCTGGCTCCCACGCGAAAAGCCACGGTTCGACTCCTGGGAGCGGCGCATCTTTTTGTTTATTCCTAAAGACTAGTATTCTGGTAAATTCGAGAATCCTGTTGCTTGTTCGAGGTCCGATTGTTCTACGCGTCGAACTTTCTACGCCGATTATTCCAGAAGCCCACGCATGTACATAAGGGTTTCCCAGTGGCGAGCTACAGTCAGTTTCGCCCCAGCGTTCGACTCTGCTGTCACGCCGACCTCGACGCCCACGACGCTCTACTTTCTTCTGTTCCCCTTTTATTTTGGGGCACAAGTTCGCTTCATTAAAGATTTAGTTTCTTCAGTTATTATCGCCTCATCACTTGTCATTCTTGAGAATACTGACAAAGCCTAGAAAATCGCCACGAGAAGTGGCCGCCGAAATGGAAAAGGTGGAGCGGCAAACAACGGATGGGAGGAGAGCCACGTGACTGGCGCCCCGCTGCGGCGAGACGCCGGAACACACTTCTCCCGAGCGAAGAAGTGTGTTTGGGGTACTCGCCGTTGCAAAAGCTGTGCGCTGACGTCCCCGACGAATGGCTCTTTGATGCTCTGCGCTACCAGATCCTCGCGTTCCAAATCTGCGACCGGGCAGTCTATGGTTTTGTCGTCGAACAGCCAGGATTTGTGAGTATTGAGGACGCTATGATAGCATTCCTTGGTTACCTTCCACCGTTCTTTGGCGGCGCGTGCACACTTGAAGCTCGCAAGACGCCGATATGTGATAGGAAGTAGGGAGATCGGGACGCAGGAGAGAAACTCAAAGATCTCCCTGCGCTCGCATCCTGTGAGTGAGTATACGTCGAGCAAGCTTGTCTGCTTCTTGCGCAGTGGGCAGAGTGACGTCAATGCGCCGAGCTCTGATTGGAAGGGTAGCGGGTGGACACGAAGGATGGCCGGCTTTGTGTCCGCCCGCTTCCTCCCTTCAATCAGAGTGAGCCAATACGCCGCCTGCTCCTTGCACACAGGACTAGGAGGAGCAGCGGCGTCAGGGTCAGGCGTTCGGGCGCCGAATGGAAGCGTCCAAATGGAGACAGGCATAGCAGGGGC